GGCTGTAGCTTCATTAGTATTAGTGTTATCAAACACAGATTCCTTAACTTTAAGTTGCTCGACAATCGTGTTCAGTTCTTCATCGCTAAGTGTTGGGGATAATTGGTGGAGATCCTCCAACTTGAAATCATCTGACACCAATTCAAGCATACTGCTTTTATAATTGTAAATATTTTTCAAAACTTCCTCGAGCTTCCAATCGCCAAAAGATTTTCGATTCCTGATTCGAACCTTTAGATCTAAACTAAGTTCATTTTTTCCCTCTTCTTTAAATTTCTCAACTAGATGTTCAAAATGATACGCATTTCCTATTTCCTTCCCTTGATGTTCAAAATAAATGTCGTTCAGTTTACAATCGGCTAAACTCTCAAACTTTGATTTAGCCTCAACTTGCAACATATTAAATGAACCAGTTGTATGCTTGATCATACACTCTTCCTTTCTGTTGTTCACAAACTTAAGATTCACATTGACTGCAGAGAATACATGAACGAATGAGTACTAGACATTATAGGAAAAAAGAACTTATGAAAAACGAATTTACTTACTGCTCAAACGGGACAACGGATAGCGAACAATTATTGTTGTGTCTGAATCTTTGCCAACATCTAGGGAACTAAGGTTGGTTCTTGGATCAAGACGTTCGAGACTTTCATCAAAAAGCGCAATCAGTTTATTTTCAATACTATTGAGAAAAGGATAATGCTCGCGAAGAACTTTCTTAAAGTCATCCAAATCCGCTTTTGAAAACTCATCCATATTTGCAAAATCATCTTCTTTAAAAACAAACTTCTCGGCATCTTCGTCGCCCTCAAACAGGACCCACATCTTTATTGAACGAGAACTTGGACGAGAACCTTGAGGACGTTTACTTGGGGAGCCTGGCTGTTCTATAAATTCAAACTCTCTCTTATCTTTGTTGGACATTTTTTACTGCGGATAACACCAATTAGGTTAGGGTGTTTCAAAACAATAAAAAAACAACCAGAATAGGTTAGAGAATAGAAATTGGTGAACTATCTTATATTTACTGCACGGTCGTAAAAATGCAAACCCAAAACTTTTTTAAAATTTGGAAAATTTTAATTTTTTGCAGGTATTTATTAATAATTATCATGCAATTATAATAACAAAAGTGCATTTCTAACTCAATTTGTTTCACAATTGAAAGACTATAAGCTAAAATTAGTAAAAGCTCGAGTGGTTTAGTATCAATATTTCGGCAAGGATTTTTCCGATCGTCGTGGGAAAAATTTCTATATTTGAAAACGTATCCATCTTAACGCACGTCCAAGGCGGATTTCCAACACCGGTTGGGTTAATTGGAGTCAATTTGAAATTAGCAAATAGAATATGCGAATCTCTCCGAGAATAGTGAATTACATGTATTATAACGTTATTTATTATAGGAGATCGAAACTTTGGTCTTACCGATGTCCTTGAGTTTTTTGACATCTTTATACCAGCTGGCCCTTTGCACCTCCAACGCAATTTGATATTTTCGAAAGAAGGCATCAAGCTCTAATTCATTCAAGAAATGAGGGCGATACTCAACTATGGGTTCTTCTTCAAGGAATACTTGAGCAATTAGAATACACTTCTCCTGAAACTTACGATTTTTCTTTGGCTCTAATTCTTTTTTAAGTTCCACTATATCTTGTTCCAATTTCACAACTCTAGATCTAAGTTCAGCATTCTCAGCAACGATATCTGTCCTATTTTTCTCTAGCTCTTCGATCTTGGCCTTAAACTCGGCTTTTTCAACATCACGCCTGGCATATTTCTCCTCAATCATTTTTAGAAGCTCAATTCTAACAACACGTCTGTTATCCTCTTCCATCATCTCTTTTATGAGCTCTGCATTCCTGACTTTAACCTTAGCAAGCTTCTTTCTAAGTTTGGGAATCTCAGCATTTTCGGTCTCAAGTTCGGCATTCCTAACCTTAAGCTCAGTAATGCGTTGCCTCAATGAATCGATCACAGAGTGACCATCTATTTCAGATTGTATGTCTGTGTAATATTAGATTATTTTGAATTTTCAGAAAACCTGTTACCAATGGTAACGGCTTTTCGCCAAGAAAATTTTTTATTAATATATGCTTTATTTAAGAAATAAAAAAACATTGCCGAAGCAACAAATACATAAAAATTTGCTTTACATGATGTAAATAAAAATTTCTAACTATTTGTTAGAGGGGGTTTTGGGGGTGGTGGGGTGTACAATGACCGTTAGATTATCATCTTTTCAGGATTAAAATAATTAAGAATTGCCTTCTTTGTATCCATAAGATTTTTTGAATGTACGCTATTTTTATAGAGGTCAAATCGAGTAGTACCAATTTCTCCTACAATGTAGTTTTTGTGTCCATCGACACCATGAATCTGAGACGTACTAACTACAAATTCATTGTTACCATCTTTAATAGTAAGTTTGATATAATCAGTATCCATTGTTTTGTTTTTCTAAATACAAGAGCCCATAGTAAGAAAAAACTTGCTCTTATACATATATAACTTTTGGCATATATATATCTATTTTGCATTATTTTTACAAGAATGATTTTGTGAAAAGTTGGATGAACTTTCACATACTCCTACATGCTTTATATCTTGCTGTTGAGAAGGAAAAAGTTAAGAAGATACAAGGCACAATTAGTATTGTTATATAATGTCAAGAGCTTTATGAAAGCACATGTAAATAGAATCTTCATACCTTTTCACATGGAGATCTACCAGAAAGACATATAGTTAGTTTCACGCCTAGTAATCTTGAAATTATCAGTCCCTCAGCCTTTCATAACATATGCTTTTGACTATACTATTTGCTTATATGGTAAGCCCTGTGTTGCAACTAGTTGCTCTTTCATATTTTCTCACATTTGTTTAAGGAAAAAATAATGAACAAAAGTTAATATGTTTCTTTTTCAAATATATGCAAAAATTAATATATCGCATAAGACTCCGATTGATAATCCATATTTTTTTGTCACACAATCTGGCTGAAAGCGCTATGCATAACTTAGCAAAAAAAATCTTCTGAGTTAGTGATCACTGCTCAGGTTAGATGATCAGTATTTCGTATCAAAATTAAATATATGTTAATCAAATATAAACACAATCATAACAAGAAATACTAATAATAATTCTGTCAATTATATGGTGAGCTTTTATATAAGAAAAAAGATATAATAGCTATTCAGAAAAAACTCAGTATATTTCCAGACTGGAAGGGACCTATTGAGAATATAAATCAAATAGCATTAAATCAAAACAAAAAAGGAAAAACACTTAAAGATTCATTTGGGCTGTTATTTAATTTAGTAAAGGAATTAATAGATATATGGAAAGATCTCGATGTAGCTTGCCATCTCATTCTTACTATATTATATAATAATATGCATGATCTTAAAGGAGAAATATATGAGAAAAAGTCACTTAAGACATTATATCATTTACTTTTATATTTGGAAGAGAATATAAGCATGATTCAGAATGTTTTTAGTATTGTCGATCATTCTGATTAGGAAATAAGTGGATTAGAAGAAGCCAATAAAAATGTAAGAGTGTATCTTTAAAACTTTTGATGGTTCCTTATTTTTAGTGGGTATTAATAAACCTGAACTATTTTCTGCTGAAGGCGCAGTCTAGAGGGAGTAAAAATATTTTATTTTTCTGAAGAGACTACCGTTATTTCAATTGTATCATTTGTGTGAAATTCAGCTAATACTCATGTTTAACTAATCTATTTTTTTATCATACAAGACCTGACTGATGATCTACTTATTTTTCTGTCACACAATCTGGTCAAAGACGCTATACATAGCTCAGAAAAAAAATCTTCCAAGTTGATCACTGATCCAGACTAATTAAATCGGTAGAGTACCTATTCTGAAACTAATATTCTTTCACCAACTTTATGTCACTAACGCATCTGAGATAGAACTAAATTCTGATTATCTCACATACTTAGATCTAAAAGGCTCTAAAGGCCTTGAGTTAAAATTTGATTATTAACTACTCTAATAAAATCAGAAGGCGTTAAAATTTTCACAAAATTCTCTACGTAGATATTTGGATTTAGCTTATCTACAGCTTCTTGCTAATTTTATAACACCTTTCAGATTAAGATATTTTAAATTAAGATATGAACTAACAATTTCTTCAATCATTATATTAGTAATTTTACAAAATCTAAGATTGAGTTATTAGAGCTTTAGATAAGAACAAATAATATTACAAATTGATAGTTCACGAATATCTGTGTAGTGAAAAATATTTAGATATTCTAATTTATAGCATAATAGGACAATTGCATATAGACCTTTAGTAATTATTATACCATATTACAGAATATATATTTGTTCTTTTGCAAATTAAAATGCTTTAGATTGGGATATAATTCTACTATTTATTTTAGTGTTTTGTTGCTAAATCCTGTGGTATAATTGAAATCTAAATAAATTATATTTAGAAATAAACATATAATGCCATTGAATTTTTTATCTGAAAGTAGGTGGTAGTATAAAATTTTTAGATGAGTTAGATTTAAGTTATAAACTGGCTTTTATCTTCTACGCACTATTTTCATAAATTTTTTCAATCAAGAATGATATATATTATTTTCCTTTAGCTCAATGTGTTTTCATAGAATGGAAGCACTGCACTTATATCAAAGCTAACAAACAAATAGAGCAGGATATAATAACTTATTTACTGCTAGGAAATATAGAATCTACTCTAATAGTTTCAGTAAATTTATAACACCCAAATGTATCATAAATAATATATGCTGTATCTTTAATAAAAAATAAAATTATGTATATTAATGATTACTGCTTTAAATAATCATTATTCTACATTAAGTTTATATTTTACTTCTTTGAATGGGATCGTAAAATTATCGTTTAATAATAGTTTTAAATTGCATATATCCAAAGTTATACAATTTTTTTGAAATCATGGCATTCCTAATACTAAGTCAGGATAATAATTAGACCAATCCAGTTTAAGAACTATGAATTCAATGAGTGTACTTTTATGCTTCTTACTATCTTCAAAACCAATATGCAGATTAACCTTTTCTAATATGAAATAGGATGTATCCAGAGTTACAATGCTATTGCTTTCACTATGATATGTAATTCCTAATTTACCAATATGTTTTTGGCCAATACAATTTATATCAGTAGACATATCAATTGATGCCTTAATAGAAATATTTTCTTTAACTACACAATTCACAAATACTATTTTATTATGATAAATATAATATTCTAATATAAATTATATCTTTATTTAACGCTTGATAAGATAATCAAGTGATTATGCAAAGTGTCTGATTTTTCAAATCCCTTTGGCTCAGCCTATTTTAAATTATTAACCATTTAACCTTTTTTAGTCATGTTTTCCTTCGTTGCTTATGAGGAATATCCTCATTTTCTCTTATCACAATTATTTTAACCGAATCAGATTCTTCAGAAGACTCAGACAAATAGGAGAAACCTTACCTTTTTTAGCAATTATCAAGAGAACTTTTTTTTGTATTAAGTCGATTAAAGTCTCTATATCTACACATTTATCCAATTCTACACATTCGTTCAGATCTTCTAATTCTGTCTTTAAAGATTTTACATCTTTCTATAATCTTTTTATCCTTTTTTTAAAAATGTTGTATTGCTTCTAATTATTTCTTTAGCGCTCTATTTTCACCAAAAAATGTACTATACACCTTTGCATTTTATTTGTCTAGTCCAAATGCCTAAATTAATATCTTCGTATATTTGATAACTTCCTGCTCTCTGGATGCATCTAATGAATGTTTTTGATCAGTTACTATTTTTGCAATATTTTATATATAATATATCTTATCTTGAGTGAAAAAATAAAATTAATAAATGATATTAGACTGATAAATTAGACCTTCTGAT